TATATAAAATAATCACAAAAAGAGCCAACCGGGTTAGACTAGACATATAACACAATAGATGTTGTGAAGGGAGGTTGCAGATCTTTCATCAAGAAACAATAATGGATGAATTGTCGCCCACATGAATGCAGCAGAGAGGAGCTGCTTCTGTCAAAGSAAAGGGAAATAAAAAACAATGAAACAGTAAATTACAGGCACAGAATGACTTAAGGTGGATACTTTTCATTAGAGTAGGTAACAAAATGACTTATAGGTGGAAAAAATAGAAATCTCCATGATGTCAAGCAGTAACTAGTACAGACAAACCAACACACACACACAGGCAAAACGTTATTGCCACTTCACATTTGACAGCAGACAATAAATACGTAACAGATTTTTTTAAAACTAATCTGCTTTTTTTATGTTACGTTTCAACAGCTTTCTAAAACAATATCGGACCAGGGGCTTATAAGGCTCCCTTTCCTCACCAGTCTGTGAACTATAAGCAGAGGCACTTCTCATGTCATTATAAATAGCTGACAAACACATAACTCAGACTTAAATACCCTCTCGTCTTATCCTCAGTCTGGCACCAGCAGCCAGCAGTAGCAGCAGAAGATGAAGCCCTRTCAGTTAAAGCTTTGTGGTTCTGCTTCACAACAACCAAGATAAAAAAAATGTTAAAGGTTTCACAGGTCTTGGAGGACCAATGGAGACTCTCTGAGGGTGGCATACTTTTACTTCCTTGTGACATGACCCTGACCAGGATCCTCTTACACTGAACACAGGATCMCTGTGATGCATGGCTTCATGTTTGCCTCGACCTTTGTTACCAAACAAGCTRTAGAGTCTGAAGCAGCCAAACAAAGACGTRAAGCAAAACTAAGAATAAAAATGASACATTGTGTGGAGGGGCCACGCTTWCAGTTCCACTCCTGGGATGATGGCATCATGACTAACCCGAGCTCTAGCTTTCCTTCATCACAGGTCATGTGATCCTATCATAAAAAAAGAGCACAGAACAGAGCATCAAAGCAGTGATATCATATTCACAACTGAATCAGGTGACATAAAACCCACAATGAGCATGAAGCAGAATGGCCATGGGCAGCAGTAACCCAAACGAGCCTGATACCAAAAAGAAAAAAAAATGAGTCACGAGCGTTTAATTACAGAAGGTTTCAGGCAGATTGTTCTGAGACAGTTTATCAGACAATCAAAGTAACACCAGCAGCCACAGAGAGACGGATGATCAAGAAGCTGAATGTTGTTTCGGCTGCTTCTTTTAGCGCAGGTGGCCTCAGCGAACACACTCAGAGTGCCCTTCCTAACTTGGACTCAATCACCTCAGGATTACAAGACTGCAGCACCAACCACTGAGCTACCACAGCCATAAAGCCAAATGGAAATGCATTATTCAGGGAGGAAGTACATGCTGTTAAAAGGTGTAAAAGTGAATCATAACCTCTAAATCAGTGCCATGTGAGTTTTAAATGTAGGTTTTCTAAAAGAGWAGGCTTGCTGTAATTTCAACTGCATCTTTGAACGTCATCAGACTCAAATCCGATCAGAGATGAAGCCGGGGTAAGTCGAAACATAAAGTTGATGTCAGAGCGTACAGGAAGCATTACTCACACTGCTCCTCTCCATTTTGGTGCATCCTCACATCAGCCTTTTTAATTCAGACATTTATTGAGCGCCTCCTGGCACAAACACCACTGACGCTCCGTTTTCTCCGGAGTCATTCCTCCTGTTTACTGCAGGCCACGGCATCGAGCAACACAACACTTTATTATTATTGTTATCAGTTTTTAAAATAAGTTATTAGAGGACTTGCTGCTGGGAAGGTTTTTTGAGAGGGGTGACATGACTCTGCCTGATGTCATTGCCCCTCGGCCTCACCAGGCGTCAGGACGACTCCCACACGGGTAAACCGAGCAGCCAACAGTTAAATATGGAGCACTAAAACAGGAGCCCACACATCATGAATTCCTCCATACTAAAAGCTTTGTTTTTTACTGTAATATCACTTTAAATTTAAGTTGCAACACATTAAAAAAAGAAAAAGAAACACATTTTTGATTTACAAAGAAAAACATGATAGTCTAAACAAATTTTATTGTATTTTTTTTCTTAAAGAGTATAATTAATTCATGTTCTTAGATTCCAAAACTCTTGTTTAAAACAACCCAATTTGTAACTCAACACTGAGTAGTTGTAACTCTGCAGGGTTGGGGTTGTTGGTTCAATGTAATGAGTTAAGTTTTTAACCCCTGAAATTGTGTTAAAATGACCAGTTTGTTGAATTTGAGCTACTAAGATAAGTTATAAAGAATAACCCAAAGTCTAGCACAAACTAAAGTTATTATTAACCAAGTCAACCTGCTGTTTTCCTTTTGCTTTTTTGCTTTACTTTTCTTAAAACATCCCTAAAGCATGGGTCCAGTTGGGTTAACTTCTGGTTTAAAATGACAGTCTAAGACAATCACACAATAATTGAAAATATGCATTATTATTTGACCCTAGTCGGCAAAATCTTTAAAAAAAATTTTAAAGTACTTTCTTGATCACCTCTTGCGGGACTTCAACAATCATTCATTTAGTTCTGTACAGTGTCAACTAATTAGAAGACATATTTGCATCCATTTTTACAATAACGCTCCAGGAGAACTGCCTCTAATTTACAGTCCTGCAGCAAACATTTCAAAAGATTTACAAGCAGATGTGCTGTTATAATTTATTCATGATTTCTAGAGGAAAGGAACTGAGCTTACTTTCAGCCACGCCAAAAGACGCATGACAACAGCTGTTGGCAAAGAGATGATTAAAGGGCAAACATAAACAAACATATAAAAACTCATCCATCCAAACAACCCAGCACAATGAAGGGAACCTCCATAACATCTCCTCTGGCTGTGGCTGGATCTGCTTYAAGAAAATCACTTCCTAAACAAGCAAAGAGGAATTAAACCCAGTCTGACTCATTCATTCTCATCTAACTCAGAACTGGAGCTGAACTCAGAGATGATTTGTCAAATCAGGTACTGACGCAGCACAGAAACACTGACTGAGCACAGATGAATGCCACAATACTGAGGGGAAGGCAGGTGCAGATACGAGAGCAAACACCCAGGTCACGCAGGACAAACTCGGTGCTTTATGACCCACTCACCAGCTCTGAGACTCTGGGATGAGCTGCTGGTGAAGTGCCACAGAGAAACCAAAGAAGGTGCCCCGGTCTCCCAACTTATGAAGTGTGTGAGTAGTGTCCAGGTTAAAGCAGAGGACTTGACTGGAGAGAGCCAACACAGCCCCAAGGAAGCAAGTCCGAAGATGAGAGGAGGGAGATGAGAGGGGGAATGTGTTTCCGTGTCCCACCAAGGCTGCCATAGCAGAGTGCAGGTCCTCCAGCAGAGCAAGTTCAGTTCAACAAGAGCACAGGGGAGATTCCTCTTAGGGCCCCCAGAGAGCTGAAAGAGAAAAAATGCAGCAAATCCTGTGAGGGTCTTCCCTCCTTTCCTCTCCTCTTTAGGTGAGTTCCTTGTTTCCTCTTTCTGCCTCTCAGCTCCGTTTGCTGCTGTCAGTCTGAAGAGCAGGCTGTGAAAATGCGGCTGCTACTACTTTGTGTGTGTGCAAGTGTGTGTTCTCTCAATGCATGTGCTGCGCCTCCCCCTCCTCTATGCTCAGAGGGAGACAAGAGGACAAGTGCCTTGAATAGCCTGCTCACTCCTCCCTTCCCCTCACTCTCTCTCTCTCTCTTTCAGGCCCTCCCTCCTCTCGCTCAGCTGACATCAACACTCAGGGGACTTGAGCCAAAATACCAGGCAAGGTTGTCAGGATACTTGGAGGCTACYGAACAGAAGGAAGGAGGACAACAAAAACAGTTGACTGTTTTATCTGCTGAGTTCACACAATCCAAAGTGCCTCCTCTTGCTGCTCATTGCTGCAGGTGCTTGGTGCAACTGAGGGACATAAAAGGGAAACACAGTCCCAAAGGTCAAAAAGGCAGCAGATGAAAGAAATGAAAGGCTTTCTTTTCCACATCAAAAGCTGTGACGTCTTATTTGTAGCAGGAAACCTATTGCAGACCTTTTGGTTGCCTGTAAACGGGACAAAAATGGGAGAAATTATGTTCGGCGACAAAGCAAWACCAACAGAATAAAGATTGTAGGATAACATCAGGGCATGTCATCAGGGGTGGAGCCAGGGGGTGGCCATGGCCACCACAGACAAACCTTTGGCCACCCCATTGGCCACCCTGCTGTACACACCCCTACCACAGTGAAACAACTTTTAGTGGTGTAATAATCCTCCTGAACAGTTGGTGGCAGTGTCTAACAGTTTGAAACATCACCAACCTCAAAGAAGTGACAAAAAAGTGATTGCTTTCTTTATGTAATCTGACTTATGGTGACAAATGTTTTAGTGTTTTTGTCATCATAACACAGTGCCATTTTCTGTTATGAAGGCTGCATGATGCTCTGTCCCTTTTGATTATGAGTAGGCTTATCACTAAATTGGAAAAAGTGAAATGCCCCTTTAAATTCACTGTTGGTGATTATCAATATTGCACCTGTTCATTGGGTAAAATTATTAATATTAGTTTTAAACATGCAGTAGAAGGTTRTCATTATTTGGCACATTGATGGACTAAAATTAAAAATAAATCAATAAACAATATAAAAGTAAAAGGCACCCCTAAATTCATTAGATATGATAAATTGTGACACATTAAATAACCTTCTCTCAGCTGTAGCAGTGAGATTAAAAACAGAATAATGAAACTAGTTTAATGAAGAATCTGTCGCTGAAATAATTATTAAATCAAGTGTTTAATTGTGTAGGTAAAAGTATGCTAAACAACCTGGTAAAATACATCAGAATGCGGGAAATGGAATTTATTTTGTTCAAAATTATGTGGGGAAGGACCCCCAGACCCCCCAACACTGTTTCCCCCACTTTTAAAATGGTTTTGACACCCATGTTTATAAGGTAGTCACTGCCTGTATAAGGACATAAGGAAATGACAAAAACACAAAGATCTGCAGAAACTTTCAAGTAAAAAAATTATGTAATTTTCCTGGCCAAACCTGTGTGAGTAGTGGCCACCGCTGAGAAAAATGTCTAGCTCCGCCACTGCATGTCATCCCTTTAATCTCATTTAATTAACTTTTTAACTTTTATTAGTCTGGCTTACATTCAGAGCTGTGTTCGAGCTGCAGTGCAGGTCACAGAGACAGGACGGGGAAAAAGAGTATTAGTRGTGTTTATTAACTGTCTAGCAATGTTGGCTATGTGAAAAAGAGCAGCAGAGGTCTGGACAGGAAGCTGACTCTGACGAAAGACGAGGCGTCGAGGAGGGGAGGCGAGTACAGAAGGCCGASCTGAGATAAAAAGGAGGAAAAACGAAAGATCAAAAGGTCGAAGCTGCGGCGTTTTTAACTGATCTGTGTTTAGTTGGAGWGCGTGAGCAGCTGTCAGTGTGACACCTCACCTCTTTGACTCAGTAAACGTCACACAAACAGCTGCAGAGTCACACAAACAGGTGAGCTGCTTTTCACACTTAGCTGTTTTTTTTTTCAAGCGAAGTAGTTTTATTTGTCCAGTGAGCTCAGCCTAATTTTGGTTTTTATTTCATCGTTTTAAGATGTAAACCTCAAGGAACTCTGCTTTTTGAAGGAAAAAATATTTTCTTTTTTCTGAGAGAAGTCGTCGGTTTAGGTTTACATTCAGTTTCCAATATGATTTCTTAAGAAAATTTTATTTTTCTTCTTGTTACAAATTTGGTTTTAAGTAATGTTTTAAGTTTTAGGTAATGTTTTCTTTCTGCCTTGATGATTGTTTCATTTTTTTTCACCAGGGTCCTATTAGTCCCAGAGTATTAATAGTCCCATCTTTCGTCTTGTTAGTTGTCAGTATGTTTGTTAATGTTTGAACTTCTACGTTGAAATCTGGAGCTGAAATTTACACTTAGAAATTTTCCTCTATGATTTACACTTTTTGTTTTAGTACAGTATGTCTTTTTCTCTGCTTTTGTCACCTTTTTCCTCTTTTCTTTTCAAACGGCAGTAAAMGTTCTTGACAAAGCATGTTCTTTGTTGTTTAGTTAACAGATTTAGCTGTAGCTAAATTGGGTTCAAGGAGCCCGGAGATGGCTACAGTTATTTTTGGGATTTTCATGCCTGAATGTTCTGCAGTAAAGGTAAAAAAGTTGGAGTTACTTTGCAAAACCTTCACAATAAGAAAAATTATAGTTTCAGATTAGTGTCTCTGGACATCATCATCAGTACAGCAGGTTTTTGCAGAAAGACACTGAATTCTTCTCATGTGATTTGGCTTCATGAAGCAGTTTCTGGTGTTAAATCTTGTCCATCCCATCTCCTGCTACCCTTTTGGTTTTTAGTTTAGTTTTTTTTAAATCAGTGTTCACGTCTCAGCACCAGTTCATTTACTTCTTCTGTGTCGATTTCAAATTTGTGYTTAGCTGTGCTTTCTGTGTCGGCACGCCAATATGCTCATGTTTGAAGGTTTATCCAGTATCACAGCATGTCTCTTGTGTGCTGAGCACCTTCACTTTGAGGCATAAATTCCTGAAGGACTCCATCAACAAGGGGAGAAAATAAAAAGGAAGAAAGGACCTATAGGATAAAAGGCTGAAAATACCATAATGGCTGCTTGGGCAGCAGGCCAGATCAGAAAGCCTGCAGACAGAACAAAGCACAGACAGAAAGTGGGCTAGAGGAAGGAAAATGGAAAAAMGGGATAATAAAAAGGAAAAAAAATCCCTACAAAGACAGTTACCTATAAAGATTATCTGCCACAGTTGCATCTTGAAGTGAGGCTCATTAGCAGTCTGAGCKGCACTTCAAGGAGAGGACTTGCTTTAGATGGCAGCAGTGGCATGTACAGCCAGGGTCATTTTTCCTTTTTAGCCCCTCCCATCACTTTGATAACCAAGATAGCTGCAGTCAGCACTAATACTGTATTGATTAATGGACAGTGCTATAAGAAGGAGCAGTTATTATGGGATTAAATGCAAACACACCCAGTCTCAGACCACATGTAGTCCCACAAGAAGGGGCTGAGCTGAGTGCAGAGATTCTGCTGGCAACAATAACATTTAGTACAATTGTTATTAACCCTAATGTAAATTTAGAGCAGGATGATTTATTAGACAAATTTATAAAGCATTTTTCTTTTTCTCCTAAAGCTTCATTTAAAATTCTTTGTATACATCACACAAAATGAGTTCTGTTTGCATTGTGTTTGAATTTGTTAATGATTATTTACTATCAGTAAATTCATTCTATGACATGAGTATATTTATATATTTATGAGTATATGAYGACATCGGTATATGATCTGTCTGTGCATGTTAACTTTCTGTGGTTAGAGATAAGAATAAATACAAGTAATAACTGTAGGAGTCACTTTAGCCACACATAAAAGTGGGTCAGAGGCGACCTCTGGCGGGAAATTGTGGATG